CCCAGGCGCCCCTGAATTTAATTTTTTAAAAAAATTTTGTAGTTATTTAAGGTGGAAGTCATAGTCATTGTTTTAAGAACTTTTTCTTTTCTAACACAGGCATTTAGTGCTATTAATTTCCCCATAAGAAGTGCGTCAGTAACATCCTGTGAATTTTGGTAAATTGTTGTGTTTTCATTTTTTTAATCCACTATATTTTGAATTTCTGTTTGGTTTCCTCTTGTACCCATTGGTTTTTTATAAATATGTAATTGAGCTTCCAAATATTTGGGTTTTCCAGAGATCTTTCTGATATTGATTCTTTTTTTTCAGTTACTGACTTCTAATTAAATTCTTTTGTGGTCAGTAAGCCATTAGTTTTGTTGAGATTTTTGGGGGGCCTAGAATATGGTCTGTCTTGGTAAATATTCCACCTGCACTAGAAAAGAATGTTTATTCTGCTGTAGTTGGATGAAGTGTTCAATAAATGTCAATTAGATCAAGTTGGCTGATATTTCTTTTTATTTTTAAAAAAATTTTAAAAAGATTTTTATTTATTTACTTGACAGAGAGAGACCACAGGGAGAGAGGGAACACAAGCAGGGGGAGTAGAAGAGGGAGAAGCAGGCTTCCCGCAGAGCAGGGAGCCCGATGCAGGGCTGGATCCCAGGACCCTGGGATCATGACCTGAGCCGAAGGCAGATGCTTAACGACTGAGCCACTCAGGCACCCCTATTTCTTTTTAAATCTTGTTATCTGCAATGATTTTCTGCCTACTAGTTCTATCAATTATTGACATATTATTAATTCAAGTTAAATGAAGACAGGTTTAGTTCATTAATCTCCCCTGGTGTCTTGTGTGAGAGAAGGTGTAAAATTGCTCCCAGGAGTGACTTAGGACTCCTTAAAATTTGGTGAGGCCCTTTAAGGCAACCACATAAACATGCTATTTAAATAAAAACAAAGTGCTTGCTAATGAAAACACAGCTTCATGGCAAATTATCTTTCCATTCCCTTCATTCCTCTTCAATCTTACTGTATTCCCTGTAATAGTTCTATATATATATTCTGAAGTTTCCACTGTTGGGTAGTGGTATATTAGTGTTTTTATGGGGTTCACATCCTTTGGTATTATAATATAAAAAAAAGATTGAAATATTCTTGAAAGTTCTGAAGAAGTACATGGAAAGACATAGATCGTCAAGCTTTTGAACACACAAACTGGACAAATGGTTTAGGGATTACCTGCATTACTGCATACATCTGGGGTTCAGGAGAATGGTAAGTTCAGGGTAGCAAAACTTTCTGCTAAAAATACTGTCTGGTTTTCTATTTTGTCCCTCACAGTTGACACAAACAGAGATAATTGAGAGCTAAATCAATTGTCTGTATGCACTTTTGCACATCTAGCTATCTTACAATAACTTTTGGTATTTTGAATATTTTTTTAAAATTCAGTTTGAATACTACTAAACTGATAACATTTTTGAGCCTCACATGACTGTTTATTTAGGTCAGAGAGATTTCATGCGAGTTACTATTTATATATGCTAAAGACCCCTCAGGCAATGTCAGGCTGTTGCCTGTGGACAGTTTCTTGAATTATAGCACAGAAACTTTAATACCTACCTCAGGAATGATAGGAGTCTTAAATAGGTAGTCATATTTACTAAAGAAACCTAGAGTTTTCTTAGATTGTCAACCTTAGTTAAGACAAGAAATGTCAGGGTGATAGAGTTTAAGTGGCTCTTTTCAGATATGTTACACTGATTCTCTATATTTAAGATGCAAAACAGCCTTCTGGGAGCTATTTAATTAAGTGAAAATAAGTCTAGTCCCTTGGAACCGAATGGTTCAGTGAGCAAATACATGTCAGTATGTGAAGGAAGTAGGGGAAGTTATTATGTGCTTCATAGACATGGTGACACTTTATAACCTGATATCAGGGATCCTAAACAGCGATTGGTTGAGAAAATTATCAAACTGAGTTTAAATTTCAGCAGGTACAAAATTGTCATGCAAAAGTCCAGGACAGTGAGCCTCTCTCAGTCTTCAAAGCGAAAGATAAGAAATCCTGGATTTTCAAAGTCCCTTCGAAGGCTTTTAAGGTAAGTTGAAACATCCTCTTTACTCAGAACTAACTGATTCTTGTAGAAATTTTAATTTCAGAGCAGAAGCTGACTTGATTTTTAGAAGTGAATAACCCTTATGATTAGATTTTTGTCCTTCCCTTTTGACTTGGCAAATCAAGACTATGTGTTAAAAGATAACAGAAAATTATATGGTGAGGGATGCTAATTCCATCTAGCAAAATATTGGATCACTGAAGAATAGGAATTTTTTTTACAGCTACTATGTTAAAATATCAGTTGCTAATAAGAAAAGTATATATAAGATGAAGCAAATATTGTAAATCTAAAATATTAACAACGAAATGAGTGATTAGAATATTTTACACATAATTTACGATAGCTCCATTACTGTTATTTTTTATCTACAAAGACCATCTTTAATAATCTTGAATCTAGTTAAAGACATTTTTTTAGCCTTACCATTGCAATATAAGATGTGGTGGCATTTAATAAAAAAGTAAAGAAACAAAGAGTAACAATAGTGACATTTAAATACTGACTCAGGAAATAAACATGGATTTGGGAATTTTATTCAACACATTATGGTACATTTACTTCAAAGTCTGGCTAATCCACTCAGAGTTAAGCTCCAAGTAGGGCTCATATCTATTTCCAGGGCTCAGTATCTGGTCCACATTAGGTCTTCAAACGTTGAATGAATGACTGCATCCCAGTTTACATTTAATTTTTTGGTCCCTGAAAAATCAACCTTCATCCTAAAAGATCAGGTTTTTTTTTTTTGCCTACTGGCATGAGGGTTTTGAAAGCTAGATCAAAATAATTTTACTTAGGTTATCTGGAGATTCTGACCTCTATCACATACTTTTTCTGTTTCATGATATCATAACAGGTTTAGAAAATGAAAGAGGTTTCAGGCTGATAAAACTGGGGCTACTTCTGTAACAATCTTTTGAGCTATTTACCTACCTGTGAATACAGTAGCAAGCATCATGGTGCATTGTGCAATTGTTCTGGAGTGGATATGAAAGAGAACCAAAGTAGTCAGATTGCTGGATTGCAGTTTAGAATGGGATGTGTATAACCATTACCTTCACTACAGGTACCTTTCTAGGATACCATGGTTCCTCCAAATCAGTGTAGACCAGCCTTTGGTAGAGTCTGTGTAATAATTAGGTTTGGTACTGCAAAGTACCGTATAGCCCCTGCTTACTAAGCAGCTGCCCTTCAACATCTATGTCCCAGAGTTCTGCATTATACTTGTCCTGAGGTCACTTCAGCTTCATTTTTAATCTATAGGATTTTTGAAGAAAGTCTAGCTATTCTTGGCTTTCTACTGAATAGCCATAAGAGTAAGCCTTTTTTTCCTCTCAGAAAACATGTCCTCTGTTCTGTGAGGAAATGCCAATAAAATTCTATGACAGTTGATATTCACTAAGATTTTATTATGTTTCCATTATCAACATTAAATTCAATCAAAGCTATTTTATGACATGCATTATTGTAATCTGTAAACTCAGTGGGAGTTCATGAAATAGGAGTAAAACTCTTCCTTTCTGTGGTAATAGTATCATTACACCAAGAAATCCAATTTTCAGTAACAGCAATTTAAAGTTTTGATTCACATGGACTACACAATGTCTATTCCAATATATCAAAATATATATTATACCATATCTGAATGTGAATTCTTTTTTTTAAAGATTTTATTTATTTATTTGATAGAGACACAGTGAGAGAGGGAACACAAGCAGGGGGAGTGGGAGGGAGAAGCAGGCCTCCTGCAGAGCAGGGAGCACGATGTGGGGCTCCATCCCAGGACCCCGGGATCATGACCTGAGCAGAAGGCAGATGCTTAAGGACTGAGCCACCCAGGCACCCCTGAATGTGAATTCTAACAGGAAAAAAGGATCATGTTTCTAGAAGCTCCACATAATAATTGCTATCATTTATAAAGGGATTGCTAAATACCCAGAACACTGCTAGTTATGCTTATAATAATATGTATTTATTCACCAACAATATTCATAAAACATCTCTTTCTGTGCTATGTATTCGAATATAGTGATTACCAACACATTCTCCTAGGCTTCAGAGCTCTCAGCAGGTCAGAGGAACATAAAAGTAATCAGGCTATGCTAAAACAGTGCAGTATGCTACCAGTGAGGTTTATAGAAGCTGCTGGGTGTAAAAAGGATAGAGACCAAATGGCCTTTGACAAGGAGTCAAGAGAATGCTTCTCAGAGAAAATTCTTCTGCTAAGGTAGCTGGGATAATCCCAAAGTGTAGGTATTATTATCCCAGATGGAGGAAACAAAGGCTTAATAAAACTACTTAAATTTCTCAAGTTCACACATTAAATAGCAGAGGTAGAACTTGAACCTAGGTCTCTAAATCCAAACTTCATGTTCCTTCCACTAGCCAAGGCTCCTTGATGCTAGTTATTTCTTTCCTTTACAGTGTCCCATAGCCCACTTGTGCGGATTTGGGGTGGGGATGATAAATGATTCATCTTTTAGCAATAATCTTAGAATTAGTAATACTTGATTAAAATTATTCAGAAGAAATGTTACCACCATCAAGAATAGCAAGACAAAGTTATGGTTGTGTCCTTTGTAACTACATGGCTGTGCCCCTTCATTGGCATAGGCAGAAAAGGTCTAGTTAGTTACCTCAGTGCTGAGCCTGATGATGCCCCCTGTACGTGTCTGTGAGCACTTCATATAAAACAGATATAAAATGTGTTTCTTCTGTAACACTGAGTCTTGACAGCCTTCTTCTCATGTTGGATATACACTCCTTGCCCAGGAAAACATCAAATGCTAACTGACCAAAATAATACCTTACCATGGTTATCATCTTTTGCTTTATAAGTAATTTTGTGCTGTCCTTTTTTCTTTAAAAACAGACTGATTAATATTCCTAAGGAAAATGAAGATAATTATATATTTTTGCATTTGGGCAGCAGCATGGGCTTTTCCAGTAAGTATGTATTCCTCAGAAAATCTCCTCACTTTGTTATCTCTTTTAACCTAACATTAAATAATATATATTTCCTTAAGACTTTGAAGATAAGCTGTGCCTAAACATTTAGATTTGCATGAAAGACTTTACAAGATTTCTTTGGGGGTCTCAACAAACCCAAATATGCACTCCAATTCATGCTCCCATTCCTCTAACTGAAACTCATGTCTTGTCAGATGGATTATTACTTTTAAAATTTATTCAGATTGTGTTTGCTTTGGCAGCACACATACTAAAATTGTAATAATACAGAGAATATTAGCATGGCCCCTGCACAAAGATAACACACAAATTTTTAAAATTCATTCAGATTAATTTACATTTAATGCCCAAAAGCCATGGAGACTTTAGCCATCTTTGCTCATGCCCTATGAATTTCATTATAATATCAATGAAACCTACATTTTAAAGGAAATTTTCAAGGAATGAAAGTAGGAAAAAATAAGATTTTTTCAACACAGGAGAAAATTAATGTTTCACTCAGATAATTATTTTTTTAATGCTCAAGAAAAATTTAGAATATACAGATAAACACCAACAGAGAAAAAATTAGGAAAATTAAACCATTTGAAATTATGTTACCCTGCTATGGGTAACATTTTGGTATGCTTTCATAATATCAAACAATCTGGTATTTATGCAGGTGAGAATTTTCTCAACTATTTCAAATGTACTCCTGAAGGACAGAAGTAGCAAATTACTTGATTTTGTTTCTGCACTGGCTCTGGTCATACCTGCTATTTTCTTAGGGGTATGGCCAGGATTATACTTAAGGTGGGTCTTGTGCTAGTGTGGGAGGCTTGTACAGAAACACCAAGGTCTATCTCCTCATTTTTATAAAAGACAATCCTCCTTGAGATAAATGGTCTGGTTAATATCAATAAAATTGGTAATACCATTGTGAAAAGTATCTCTATGCCCAGTTTAAATTCCACACAAGCTGTGTAACAAGCTTTATTCGATCATAGTGTGGCCTTTGCATTATATATGTTTTCTTCATTTAGAGAAAAATGTGTGTCTGTATGTATGTGTGCATGTGTGCATGCATGCGTGCATGTACACAAAATTAGAATGTTTTAAATTTCCAATATTTTCCTTTTGGTAGGTTCTTCAAATCAAGCCATTGGAGAGACATGCTGTTGACAAATTTGTAAATTTAAATCTTCTAGAAAAAGGAAAAGTGCCAATACAGGTAGGTATAGGATATAAAATGTGTTTCTAAGCCATTTTTAAATTCTTTTTTTAATTATTTATTTATTTGAGAGAGAGAACATGAGAGAGAGCACGAGCAGGGGGAGGGACAGAGGGAGAAGCAGACTCCTCGCTGAGCAGGGAGCCTGACATGGGGCTCCATCCCAGGACACTTAACCGACTGCAGCAGATGCTTAACTGACTGCCCCACCCAGATGCCCCTAAATTCTATTAACTTCCAGAAAATTGATGCTTATCTTTTCAGTTTGTTTTACTTCAATTATTTTGAAGTGTTTCTCTTTTCCAGGATGAGTTAAATGCCAATGATACCACCAAAGAAAGTGGTGTCCCCCCTGAAAATGAAAGAGGAAGGCAACAATATACCAAACATGGTTACAAAGAAGAAAGAAATGGCTCTGAGTGGGCAGAAATAGGAGGGAAAAGTTCTTCTACACATTCCATGTTAGTAAATGACGAAGGGAATAGTGAGGATCAAAATGGGGTCACAGGAAAACTAGAAACATATGGTTATGATGGGATAAATGGAAAAGGTAGCGCCACAGCAAATGGCATCAGGGGACAAGTAAGTATCATCGACAATGCCGGAAGAGCAAATGGGAGCAATACTAATAGAAATACTGATAATAATTTGAACAATGGAGGAGATGTTGGAGATGCAAGTCAGAGTGAGAATGCCACTGTTGCCCAAGAAGATGACCATCAAATAGCTGGAAGGAATAACAGTACAGGCCATAAGGATGAAATAAACAGGAATTCCTGTAGAAATGAGGGTGATACAGGTCAAGTAACACCTGAGAGAGAAAGTGAGGGAAATGGGAATCAGGAAGCAGGAGTAACACTAGGGGGAAGTGTAGCTGGCAATGGAGAAGATGATGGCCTGGATAATTCTGATGGGAATCCTAGTGGGAATGGAGCAGAGGAGGATGAAGATAAGGGCTCTGGTGATGATGAAGGTGAAGAAACAGGGAATGGAAAAGAAAGCACTGATAACAGCAAGGGCCAAGAGGGTCAGCCTCATGGAAAAGATGACAATGATAATAGTTTAGGTCAAAATTCAATTAGTAATGAAGATGATGACCCCGAAGACAAAGAAGATCCCCATGACATCAATGGAGACAACACTTCCAAGAGTGAGGAGGATTCTGACGGTATTTCCAAAGACAAAGATAGCCCAATAACAGAGGACATGCAAAAGCCCAATTACAGAGAAAACAAAGCTGTGGAAAAGAAAATCACTAATGAAGCAGAGCCAGGTGCTACTGGGAAGAGCCAAGATAAGGTTAGTTTGTGAAGCTGATTTCTTTCAATGGCAGTTTAAATTCTCCCCCTCCATTCACTGATGGTAACACAAGAATAAATCATAATGAGCATTCATCTATTTGTGCACCTAAATTACTCAAATATTTAATGGGAAAGTTAGAGTCCTTATTAAACTCTGATACAGAACAATTTTTAAAGAAGATTTTATTATTTATTTATTTATTTGAGAATGAGAGTGAGAGAGCACAAGTTGGGGGGGGATGATATAGCAGAGGGAGAGGGAGAAGCAGGCTCCTCGCTGAGCAGGGAGCCTGATGTGGAGCTTGATCTCAGGACCCTGGGATCATGACCTGAGCCAAAGCCAGATGCTTAACTGACTAAGCCACCCAGGTGCCCCCAGAACAATTTAAAAACAGACATTTCTGAAAATTTGGTTACAATTCTATAAAAATTGATATACCATGTAACTGTTCACACAAGTTCCTACTGACTAAGATGTGAATGGGTTGTTATATAACCTAAACACTGGAGTTCTCTCAAGTGAATAAAGCATATTCTTACAAACAGAAGTTTATGAAGTACTGGAAGCTGAACTTCCGTTTCTCTGGTCACATTCCCCAGTCTGTCTTCCTCAGACCAATGCAATTTTGCAGCATACCATCCACTAACTATCATTCTTTTCTCCATCTTTCCACAGGGAATAGAAATGGAAGGTCCCAGTAGTGACAACAGAAACAATATTACCAAAGGAGCTGGGAAATTCAGTGAAGATAAAGAGAGTAAAAGACAACAAAGAATGGTCATGAGCAAAGGAAATGTCAAGACACCAGGAGAGACTGACAACATACAAGGACCTGGTCAGAAATCAGAACCTGGAAATAAGGCTGCACACAGCAAAACAGGTAGTGACAGTAACAGTGATGGATATGACAGCTATGGGTTTGATGACAAATCCATGCAAGGAGATGATCCCAATAGCAGTGGTGAATCTAATGGCAATGATGGTGCTGATTCTGAAGGTGACAATGACAGTAATAGCCGAGGAGATACTGGTTATAACTCTGATGAATCAAAAGATAACGGCAATGACAGTGATTCAAATGGAGGAGGTGATAATGACAGTGATAGCACATCAGATGCTAATGATAGTGACAGTAATGACAATGGAAACGGGAGCGATGAGAATGGCAAATCAAACAGCAACAAAGATAAATCAGAGAGTAGCAACAGCAGTGACAGCAGTGACAGCAGCGACAGCAGTGACAGCAGCGACAGTAGCGACAGCAGTAATAGTGACAGCAGCAACAGCAGTGATAGCGACAGCAGTGATAGTGACAGCAGCGACAGCAGCGACAGTAGCGGCAGCAGCGACAGTAGTGATAGTAGTGACAGCAGTGACAGCAAGTCAGACAGCAGTGACAGCAGCAACAGCAGCAATAGTAGTGACAGCAGTGACAGTAGTGACAGCAGCGACAGTAGTGACAGCAAGTCAGACAGCAGTGATAGCAGTGACAGTAGTGACAGCAGTGATAGTGACAGTAAACCAGATAGTAGTGACAGCAGCAACAGCAAATCAGATAGTAGTGACAACAGTGGTGGTGACAGCAGTGACAGCAACAGCAAATCAGACAGTAGTGACAGCAGTGACGGCGACAGCAGCGACAGCAGTGACAGCAGTGATAGTAGTGACAGCGACAGCAGCGACAGCAGCGACAGCAGCAAGAGCGACAGTGACAGCAGCGACAGCAGTGATAGTAGTGACAGTGACAGCAGCGACAGCAGCGACAGCAGTGATAGCAAGAGCGACAGTGACAGCAGCGACAGCAGTGACAGCAACGACAGCAATGATGGCAGCAAGAGCAACAGTGACAGCAGCGACAGCAGCGACAGTGACAGCAGCGACAGCAGCGACAGCAGCAAGGGCGACAGCGACAGCAGCGACAGCAGCGACAGCAGCGACGACAGCAGCGACAGTAGTGACAGTGACAGCAGCGACAGCAGTGGCAGCAGCGACAGCAGTGACAGCAGTGACAGCGACAGCAGCGACAGCAGCGATAGTAGTGACAGTGACAGCAGCGACAGCAGTGGCAGCAGCGGCAGCAGCGGCAGCAGCGACAGCAGTGACAGCGACAGCAGCGACAGCAGCGACAGCAGTGGCAGCAGAGGCAGCAGCGACAGTGACAGCAGTGACAGCGACAGCAGCGACAGCAGTGACAGCAAAAGCGACAGCAGCGACAGTAGTGACAGCGACAGCAGCGACAGCAGCGACAGTGCATCTGACGGTGATAAGAGTCACAGCAAGAGCAAGTCTGGTAACGGCAACAATGGAAGTGACAGTGAGAGTGACAGTGAAGGCAGTGACAGTAATCACTCAACCAGTGATGATCAGAAAAGAAAAACCCACAAGATTTTTTTTGGAGAAGTCTAGTGAATAACTGATAGGAAATGGTGATTTCTAAGGAAGGAAAGAAAGGGGAGACATAAACAGAAGATGCCTACATTCATAGAAACAATGAGAGGAATAGTCAAATTGCCAGATTTGGAACCAAGTACCCACACCCTCAGGAGAGAATATGAATGCAGGACCTTTGCTTTGTGCATATTAAAACACATTCTGAAAAGATTTTCAAAAAGTGTACCTCTAAATATAAAAAGGGACAATTAAAATATTCTTTAATACTTTACACAGAAACCTCAAGCAATCACGTTCTATATGATAACTGACTTAAATGTCAAGTGCCTTAGGGAATGTAGTAAGTAAATACATCTTATAAACAACCTGTGGCATTGCCTTAATCTTTCAGTAATCATTCATTCTGGATAGATGATCTGCTTACTGCTGAGTAAAAGATGCTATTACCATGATATCCAGCTTGGCTACTGATTCATTTGCTGGTTCTAAGGAAGAAATAAACTTGTAACATGAAAAAATGCAGCAATGATTGAACCTATCTGGACCATGGGGATAATCTTTGTAATTATTGAATAATTACAAATTAGAAAAAATTTAAAGAGTGCTAGTCAGAAAATAATTCAGAGGCTGGTTTAAATAACAAAATCTGATGTACAGTATTACATTCCTGCTAAGCACTGGAAATTTAGCATAATGTCCCTAAAACTATTGATAAAATTGATGCAGTGCTTACAGTGTCTTGCCTCCAACAGCCATTTTGCAAATATTAATAAACAAATGATACATGAATGAAGGACTCTAAAGGGGGGTTTACTTTTTTAACTCTATGTTCAGAGCTCTGTTATGTGGAATCAGTATTTGTTTTCCATCTTATGTCAAACTTGGTTCTCACTTCCCTTTTAAACCCTCACATGCTGAAACTTCCAAACCAGACCCTGAGACACCCTTCTCACTGTTAATCTCTTTAATAAAGCCAACTGTTGCTGGTCGGTAATGCTTTGGAAATTACTCTTTTTTGAGAGTCATATAATGCAACTAAAATCTGAGCATGGATTGTTCCACTTTTGCATGAATGAGGGTTCCTAGTTTTGAGATGGAGCCCAAACCCTAGAACATGAGAATTTTAAAGGTGTATGCAACTAGAGTGTGATATTTAATAGGGTGGAGGTAAAATCTATTATTCAAGCTAGTATATTTTTGAGAGTGAAGGGGGTGCTATCAATAATTACTCGGAGATAGGAGGTGTAAATTGGGCTTGTTCAGGGATACTGGGAGATACAACAGACATTGCCATAAACCTTTAAGGTATTTTTCAAGATTTAGTGAAGATGATTTGTAATTTCCCTCTTCTTCCATTTAGGCAGTTATTTTAGATTTGTTCTAATTCAAAGATAAAATTCTATGGTGTAGTGAAGTTCTGTATGCAACTTCTTTGATGCTGATTTTCAACTAGTCATCAGTTGACTATTTTCTAATATTAGGCATATTTTATATGGAGTTTCAGTAGTTTTTTTTCTACCTTATTTCTCGTTTAATGCAAGTTTCTTAGTTGAGATCAATATTACAAGGAATATTGCTGAAAGCTTTAAAAATACTGCTATTCATAAACTATGATAACTCATAATACTGTAACATTTCAGGTTTCTACTATATCATAATCATGTAAATGACTCCAAAGTTCTTTCCTTAAAATATGCTCTAGATTTTTAACTCCTTTAGGCTTCAGGATTTTTGTTTTTGTCTTTTTTTAATTTGTAAAGTGTGGCTTCTAGTACCTGTTTCACCTATTTTAAAAGGTTGTTATGAGCTTAAGTCAGGCAATGGATGTGAAACTCTTTGTAAATTGTACAAGATATGTAAATTAAAGAGGTAATGAATTTTGATGCTATAATAAACATCTATTTATGTGACTATTCACAAAGAAAACTCCCTTAATCTTAAGGGGTTTGCAAGTCCTTATTCCTTCCATCACATTTTTAAAATTTAGCTGTTTTTACCTCAAGAAGTAACATGTATATACACAAAATAAAAATTTTTCAAACACTATGAAAAGATATAAAAATATTAAATCTTCATCATCCTAGATTCCTAATCCTCTACTTCTCTTCTTTAGAGGTGGTTCCAATTACTAATATCTTGTGAAACTTTCCAGAAATATTCTATGCACATATAAACACATATGTTCCTCTTTTAAAAACACACGGAAGTCTACTATGCACTGTGTGTTTATCTTACTCTTTTTTTTAACATAAGAATATACCTTGAATATTGGTTCATAGCATACAGATTGACATTTCCCCCCCACGGTTGTGTTGTATTTCATTTTATCAACTGCCATAGATATTTAATCTGTCCCTTTTTCCCATCACTTCCTAAGCCATTTCTGGTCCAATGACTCTCTGCAGGTAAACAGCATGAGTCAATAACCCAAGCTGGATAAATTCCCAACCAGTTCTTATAAAGACTTTAGTTTAGGAAGTATTTGGGAGGATAAAGGAGATGCTCAGAATCTAGGGCTGATGTCAGAAACAATGAAGGAAGACTATGATCCTGCTCTTCTTATATAATATCTACACTGACCTCTGGATCCTCAAGGTAAAAATAAAGGTGACCCTCTAAAAGGACGTCTCAAGAATAGAACCTTTGAATACATGAAATCTGGTATTAGAAAACAAAATCTGTTTTGTTTTTTTCCAGAATAAGATTAGTAAGCTATCTGCTAATATTGCCCATGGGAGCAGTATTTTTTATTATTATTATTATGTTATGTTAATCACCATACATCATCAGTTTTTGATGTAGTGTTCCATGATTCATTGTTTGCGTATAACACCCAGTGCTCCAAGCAGTACATGCCCTCTTTAATACCCATCACCAGGCTAACCCATCCCCCCACCCCCTCCCTTCTAGAACCCTCAGTTTGTTTCTCAGAGTCCACAGTCTCTCATGGTTCGTCTTCCCCTCCGATTTCTCCCCCTTCATTTTTCCCTTCCTGCTATCTTCTTCTTCTTCTTTCTTAACATATAATGCACTATTTGTTTCAGAGGTACAGGTCTGTGATTCAACAGTCTTACACAATTCACAGCACTCACCATAGCACATACCGTCCCCAGTGTCTATCACTCAGCCACCCCATCCCTCCCACCCCCCACCACTCCAGCAACCCTCAGCTTGTTTTCTGAGATTAAGAATTCCTCATATCAGTGAGATCATATGATACATGTCTTTCTCTGATTGACTTATTTCGCTCAGCATAATACCCTCCAGTTCCATCCACATCATTGCAAATGGCAAGATTTCATTCCTTTTGATGGCTGCATAATATTCCATTGTGTGTGTGTGTGTGTGTGTGTGTGTGTGTGTGTGTGTGTACACACACACCACATCTTCTTTATCCATTCATCTGTCAATGGACATCTTAGCTCTTTCCACAGTTTGGCTATTGTGGACATTGCTGCTATAAACATCGGGGTGTGGATCCCCACATTTTTATCTTTGGGGTAAATACCCAGTAGTGCAATTGCTGGATCGTAGGGTAGCTCTATTTTCAACTTTCTGAGGAACCTCCACACTGTTTTCCAGAGTGGCTGCACCAGCTTGCATTCCCACCAACGGTGTAGGAGGGTTCCCCTTTCTCCGCATCCCCACCAACATGTCGTTTCCTGACTTGCTTATTTTAGCCATTCTGATTAGTGTGAGGTGGTAACTCATTGGGGTTTTGATCTGGATTTCCTTGATGCCGAGTGATGTTGAGCACTTTTTCATGTGTCTGTTGGCCATTTGGATGTCTTCTTTGGAAAAATGTCTGTTCATGTCTTCTGCCCATTTCTTGATTGGATCATTTGTTCTTTGGGTGTTGAGTTTAAGAAGTTCTTTATAGATTTTGGATACTAGCCCTTTACCTGATATGTAATTTGCAAATATCTTCTCCCATTCCGTCGGTCCATCTTTAGGTTTTTTTGACTGTTTCCTTTGCTGTGCAAAAGCTTTTTATCTTCATGAGGTCCCAAGAGTTCATTTTTGCCCTTGCTTCCCTTGCCTTTGGCGATGTTTCTAGGAAGAAGTTGCTGTGGCTGAGGTCTAAGAAGTTATTGCCTGTGTTCTCCTTCAGGATTTTGATGGACTCCTGTCTCACATTTAGGTCTTTCAACCATTTTGAGTCTGTTTTTGTGTGTGGTGTAAGGAAATGGTCCAGTTTCATTCTTCTGCATGTGGCTGTCCAATTTTCCCAACACCATTTGTTGAAGAGACTATCTTTTTTTCCATTAGACATTCTTTCCTGCTTCATCGAAGATTAGTTGACCATGGAGTTGAGGGTCCATTTCTGGGCTCTCTATTCTGTTCCATTGATCTATGTGTCTGTTTTTGTGCCAGTACCATACCGTCTTGATGATGACAGCTTTGTAATAGAGCTGGAAGTCCGGAATTGTGATGCCACCAGCTTTGCTTTTCTTTTTCAACATTCCCCTGGCTATTCGGGGTCTTTTCTGGTTCCGTACAAATTTTAGGATTATTTGTTCCATTTCTTTGAAAAAAGTGGATGGTATTTTGATGGGGATTGCATTGAATGTGTAGATTGCTCTAGGTAGTACTGACATCTTCACAATATTTGTTCTTCCAATCCATGAGCATGGAACGTTTTTCCATTTCTTTGTGTCTTCCTCAATTTCTTTCATGAGTATTTTATAGTTTTCTGAGTACAGATCCTTTGCCTCTTTGGTTAGATTTATTCCTAGGTATCTTACGGTTTTGGGTGCAACTGTAAATGGGATCGACTCCTTAATTTCTCTTTCTTCTGTCTTGTTGTTGGTGTATAGGAATGCCACTGATTTCTGTGCATTGATTTTATATCCTGCCACTTTACTGAATTCCTGTATGAGTTCTAGCAGTTTTGGGGTGGAGTCTTTTGGGTTTTCCACATAAAGTATCATATCATGGGAGCAGTATTTTTTAAATGGCAGGTTGCCACTCATTTAGTAGGTCATGGTATCAATTTAGTGACTCATGCCCTACAT